CTACGAGGCCACCGTCATTTACCCGACGGGAGGGGTGAGCGAGTGAGCCCTGCAATCTAGAATTTGACCACTGATGTCACTGTTTTCAACCCATTTTACACACTGGCCCTTTAAAAATATCTTAATATTTAGTCTGTCCTTCCATCCGTTCATCCGTCTGCCCCATTCTCGTGAACACCTGACAGAACACCTTAAGGGAATTACTTAAAATTTGACACAAACACCCACTTACGCTGAAGAATACAATGATTTGAATTTTGTGGTCAAAGGTCAAGGTCAGTGTGAACTCATAAAACATGTTTTTGGCCGTAACTTAAGAATTCTTATGCTAGTTATGACAAATTTTCACACAAATGTCTTAAAGGATATAATGATGTGATAACATTTTATATCCAAAAGGTCAAATGTCAACTTCACTGTGAAGTCAAAATATTTTGCATAAAACACTTTTATGGCCATTAGTCATCATCATATCTCGAGGGGGAGAGACATTTGGTCGGATACTGAATTGGTGACACTCATCTTTGGTACCCACCTTGAGACTGCTGATTGTATAGATCTTCTGTGTGTGAAGCATTCATGTTTTCACAGGCATGGATGCAAACTGTAAGAGAAACTTGACTGGTGGGCGGAGACATACACATATTTTTAGACTGTTTATGTTTGTTGCACCCTTGAACTTGTGATGTCACTGTATTTCAAGATCTCAGCAATTGACTTGGTGAGTATGCTATCAACTGATAGAAATATTAGCCATTTTACGATCCAAATAACACCCCAGTTGTATTGTCTAGTTATTTTTTAAGAGTTTCCAGTCCACTAGATGGTGGGGTGTCACCAGATAATCCCAAAGACAACATGTGACTGTGACACTTTTTGCTCATCATCTTGTTCAGGTGGGAGATATACACTGTATTGACGCGAGACTCTTTGGCAACATCGGGCGCTTCATCAACCATCTGTGTGAGCCCAACCTGCTGGCTGTGAGGGTGTTCACCATGCACCAGGATCTACGCTTCCCCAGGATAGCCTTCTTCTCCAACAGGCCCATCAAAGCTGGAGACCAGATAGGGTGAGCTTAATTCCGACCACTATCTTTCATTTCCTCTCCAGTAGACAACTTCAGTAAACAGAATAGAGATGATATGATGAACCAGTGTCTCTTCCTCACAGGTTTGACTACGGCGATCATTACTGGAGGGTAAAGAGCAAGTACTTCAGCTGCCAGTGCGGGTCTCTCAAGTGTCGCCACTCAGCTGGTAGCAGATAGAAACTCACTGATGACCACTGATCCCTGATGATATTCTGTTCATGTCAGAAACACTGTCTCTCTGAACCAGATTCTACATAAGAGTGATGCTATGATCACATAAACACCAATGGGATTTTCTGCTATTCAGTTGTTTCACAGTTTGAAAGCCACAGATGAAAGATGAAACATCTGAAAATCGGTCACCTCAGAGCACAGGATCTAACCTATTTTTACACCTAATAAGGTTACGCCTTCATATGAGGAACACTGTGGCTTGCTGCCAGCAAAAAATACTGTATGTGAAGTTGGGTTTAACCAGCTAGTAAGCAGGTTAAATCATTTTAACAGATGGTTTTAACATCCATGGACTCTTCCTTAAAGGCTGCATTTGCTAACTTTTATGAAAATAACTTTTTGTCATATTTGCTGAAACTCACTACATCCACACAGTAGGAATGCAAGATATGGATTTTTTTTCAGATGATACTGATAATTATCTGCTCCTCATGGCCGTTACTGATAAGATAAATGATAATGTCACATTTTTATATTTTAAAAAGAAGTTCATAACCTGTAGTTTATGCACACCTTAGGGTAAGAGAGGCTAAGATGTAGGTAGCAAAGTGGACGATTTAATATTCCATGGCTCTGACCTAAACAAATCTGACATCACTACTGTTTACACAACAAAAACAAACAGTATTGGCACTTCCAATGTTCATTTATTTTGTTTAGTAAAGTACATCAGAAGCTTGACAAACATAATTTGGCTTTTGTAGAGGGTTTTGCCAAAAATTCAAATGAAATGCTCTGACATATTCTGTCACATCAGACATGTCAGTGTATTATACACAAGTAACTGAAGTGCATCCCTCAAAACAAAGGCTTTGTGTATCCCATACATTGATTTATTTGTGGTGGCCTGCAACAATGTCAACACTGACCTGCTAAAAAATGTTGGTTTTCCTTTTCTTTTTTTTCCTTTTTTTTTGAGTATATAAAATGGGTAAACACTAATTTTATCGTAGAGCTGCACATAGCATCTTGATTCACTCAACCACTCCTTGATCCACTCTCTCCTTTATGATGAGACGGTAATGTACCACAGTGGCAGGGCCAGCTGTTGGCATAATATGGCTAAAGTTAGCTAACATTTGAATGGGTTTAATGACATCACACAGTGAACATTAGCTAAAGGTTGATAAGGGGTTAAACAACAGAGTCGAGCCATTCAGTGTCCGTGTGGTTTGTTGAGACCTTTAAACAGCTCGGTGTTGGATGTTAGCTGCTGCTGCTGCTGCTGTTGTTTTAGCTCGAGCTAACACAGCAGATGTTCAACTGAACGTGTGCCGGGAAGACAGCAGCTCAGGAAATGGTCCTTCAGCACTGCAGCTAACTAGTGTCATAGCAGCTACAAAAAGGGATCAGATCCCTGGCACAATCATGTTGTCTTTCTCTAAAACTGAAAAACGTCCACACTGGTGTTGGGCTCCCTAGTTAGCATGCTGCACTTGCTCTTCAGCTTCTTCTTCTTTTTTGTGTTTGTTGGCGATGTAGGTGCTGTGCCAGTGGAGTCAATGAAACCAATTTGGCTTTGTAACATAAACTGTTTATCAGCTATAATGGTATTATCTGAATAATTAATAATAATATAAATTTCCCATTATCAGCTGATAATCTATCGGCCTGACATATATCGTTCATCCCCACCAATCACTATTACATGTGACACATAGTCTGTGGGGAAAAAAAAGAGAAAAAAATGAATCGGATGGCATTTGCTAGAATCTACTGTGGCTGTTGGAATGCAGCCAATCAGAGCCAAGGAGTCTCCCCAGTGCCGCTGTCAATCATGTCAATCATTGCTCGTGAACTGTGGTCAAACTGTCAATATAGGCAGCGCTGATCAAATATGAATCAATATTCTGTTACTGCATTGTCTATTTCCTTTCTCAGATATTTTCTGAAACATTTTAGTGTAATTTTATGCTGTAAAATGAGAGTTTGCTCTGGCCAGTGGGTGGTGCTTGGTTTTTGCTAATTGTTTTAAACATGGCGGCTGGGTCACAAACTTTCTCATTTTACAGCTAAACAGTACACTGAGGTGATAAATAGGCAATGCAATCACAGAGTCTTGATTCATATTTGATCGGCCCTGCCTAGTTTGGCAGTTTGACCTTGAGCTGTGATTGATATGATGGACAGCTGCATTAGAGACTCCTTGGCTCTGATTGGTTGTTTTTGTTCTTGTGTAATAGGTTTTTGCAAATGCCATTAGAGGGGGCAGAGGAACTTTTTATTCAGAGATTATCTGTCTCATTTAGTGCTGTGTGAATATAGTTAGAGTTTCAGCAAATATCAGGGGATTTTTTTATATAAAAGTTCCCAACTGTAGCTTTCATACTGCAAAGTGTATTTGTGGATTAATAAAGTGAAGTAATGTTTTGGTAGTCTGATCCCTTCAATGAACATGCTTTTTACTACTTGTCTAATAAGCAATTAAACACATTTTTGAAGTGTCATTTGTCATTTGCACTTGAAAATGGATTTAATAATTTGAAATGTTTTACATAATTTTTAGGCCTCCACGCTGGCGATAGCCATGGCTGGAGGCATTATGTTTTCAGGTTGTCCTTCCGTCCCACTTTTGTGAACGTGATATTTCAAGAACGCCTTAAGGGATTTTTACTAAATTAGGCACCAGCATTCAGTTAACCTTAACAATAAGATTTTGATGGTCAAAGGTCAAGGTCCCTGTGACCTTGAATCCATCTCATTCTCATGAATGCGATATCTTAAGAACACAAAGTGAATTTCTTAAAATTGGACACAAATGTCCACTTGGACTGAATAATAAACTGATTGGAATCTTATGGTAGAAGGTCAAAGGTCAAGGTCAGTGTGACCTCATCAAATGTGTATTTGGCTGTAACTCAAGAATTCTTGTACTAATTATGACAAAAATTCACACAGTAGTCTATTAGGATAAAATAATGAAGTTTTATATCCAAAAGGTCAAAGGACAACTTCACTGTGACATCATAATAGTCTGCATAAAACACTTTTCCATTAGGCCTACCCAACATCATATCTCAGGAGACATTTGGTCAGATCTGAATCAGTGACACTAATCTTGGAACTCTGCTGATTACATAGATCCTCTGTGCTGACAGGGGGAAGATGTATGTAAAGCATGTTTTCACAGATGTCATAGATGGACAGACAGACAGATAGAAATGAATAATATTTTGTGAAGTAGGCCTAACTGTAATTTAATTACATAGTTTTTCTTAGTAACTGATTACAGTTACATTTATTTATTATAAATTTTACCTAATGTCACCTCAGGAATCCTTGCAACTGATGTTTTACTTTAAAAAGTTTGACCAGAAGTTGTGTACTCCTGCCTGCGGTTTATGCTAGACACCCACCCGATATACACTACGTTATAATGCAATTGCATTATTTTTTAATGTTTTAGGCTACTTATTTCACATTTATTAGGCTACTGTTAAAAAAATCATTCGGTCTGTTTATGAATATGCTCTTATATTGAGAGCTATCGCGGAAATCTATTATTCCGTGCAACTTTACCCCGGTCTCTCTCTCTCTCTCTCTCTCTCTCTCTCTCTCTCTCTCTCTCTCTCTCGCTCTCTCCCCTCCCTGTTGCTATGGAAACAGGGCCGGTCCAGGTGGAGCCTCTGACAGGCGTCTTGTCGGTCACGTGGGCTCTGTGGATGAGGAGCAGTGGAGAAAGTAGTGCCTCTCTATTCACATTAACAGCGACTTTGTAATAACAACCTGCACAGCCGTCATTTCTCAATGGAACAGAAAAAGAAAAACTGACAGCGACGTTTTTTCCCTCCCGGTACCGTGGGGCAAGGTGGTTAAAAGAAAAAAATCAGCGTTAAGTCGAAATGGAAACAAATCTTTAGGGAACAGAAGGGATGTTTGTGGACGCTCTCTGAAGGAAAATTATCCTGACGCTGAGGTATTTTCTCTGCTGTAGTCTTGTGCTAAACTGAGATTTTTTTAAAGGGGTATATTGGTAGAAGGAGCATCATATGGCATGGAATTAAAGCGTTGACACCAGTAGGCTATATTTTACCTCCTTCTGAGGACCGGGGCAGTCAGCCGGAGGAGAAACACCCATGAAAAATGATGCATCATGGAATCTGATCATCTAAACTTTGAGCAACAATTTCATGTCTGGAAGAGTGACAGCATGGGAAGCAGCAGAGACGGGGAGATAACAGACTAACGCTGCTGAAAAAGAAGCCCCCCTTTCTGTGTTTTGTTGTGAATGTTTGACTCTTCTATTCTTCGACGTTACACGCACCTAAAGGACCAGGGGGACGGGGCAGTGTGTGTTGTGATGCTTCTTCTTCATGTCTTTTCAGGTGTCAGTTTTGGTTTTCCCAGGAAGATCCGTGCTATTCCAGAATGGCTCGCTTTGAAGACGAACTGTCTAGCCGCTATAGTGGCAGCTGTCCCGTGGGCCCGACCAGAGGGGCCAGCCGGCAGCCGGGGCCTGCGGGGGTCCAAAGGATGTACAAGCAGACGATGGCCCAGAGAGCCAGGACCATGGCCATTTACAACCCTATTCCAGTCAAACAGAACTGCCTCACCGTCAACCGCTCTCTGTTCATCTTCAGTGAGGATAATATCATACGAAAATATGCCAAAAAGATCACCGAATGGCCATATCCTTACAGTTCAGTCTAACCAGCTACATATGTTGTTCGTTCCCATATAACGCGGAATTATTGTGCCGAACTCCGCGGAAAAATATGGTCTTTTTAGGTCCCCTGCTTATCGGAAGAAGATAAATGTATCTTGGAAATGATACACCATCTCAAATTATGCATAAGGAAAGGCGCTTTAATTCGGCATACATACGTTATGTGAAGAAGCGTTTATATCACTAAAATAAAAATAAAAATTCTACAGTTGGTTCTCCTGTTGTTAAAGAGAGAAGTGTGCTGCTTGTGCCACAAATGGGGGTTCTCAGCCTATTTTCTTTAGAATGAATTAGGCTGCCAGGTCTTTTTTCAGAAAACGTCTGATTTTCTTCAGTCTGTGAAGCTAAGACTATTGACAAGAAGGGGACCTCAAAGAGCCACATTTCTGATGGAGTTCGGCCTCATTTTTCCATATTTCCCATCAGAAAAAAACAACAAAAAACAGAACTTTAATTGTTTAGTAATTAGGCAGGCCTTTTGGGAAGACTGAGTGCATAGCACGTTGCTTGGTGTTTTAACTTATGTTTCACTTAAGTTCATTAATTAGTTTTATGCCAAGTGTTCTATTATTGGGGTTTCTGGTCAAGGCATTATTTAATTAGATTGTCATTTGATAAAGAATTTGTGGAAGATTTCTGTTATTCATCTTCATTGTGGACAGATGGAGTGAAACCTCTGGCCAGAACAGTTGTCATTCAATTCTAATTCTTAGCCCACGGATTAGGTTAGAATATAGAGCATGTCAAGGTTTATTTATTAATTTTCAGACTTCCTGATAACACTGTTGTGCAGGTTTACCTGGAAGGCCATTTTCTCTCTAACAGTTGATTGTGAAGGTTGCAGTCTGCAGATGGTGCTGTCCAGTGTGTTGAACTTCGAGCTAACAGCTGACTGGCCTCAGCATCGAAGTAGTGGCAAACTGCATGGGTGTGACACAAAACAAACAAGCCATACCAATCAAATGCAACAAGGATTCAGGTTTCAGATTAGCAAATAATGAAATAATATCTCACCGGTGCAGATTTGGATACTTTCTGAGGAAAAGTCAATGGTAAAACACCTCATGCTAATGAGTGTTATAGGTGTCACATTTAATTCACATTAAGTTGTGTAATGGCCTCCATTACTTAAGTCAGTGGTTGATTACCCCCGACGCTGAGCAAACATGTATCATGCTTTGCTGCTGCAGTGCATTACTGAGCCCTTTATCCTGATGCAGAGCAATCATGGCAGTGCTGCAGAAGGATGTATTGTGGCCCCGAGCATCTGGAGGCCCAGTCATCAGACTCCATTGGCCGGTTACCTCTCCTGAGGATGCCCTCCTCCTGGCGGAGCTGGAACAGTCCTGAGGGGATGTTGGAATTACTGGAATGGTAGTGCTAATGACATAACGGTGCACTGCAGGGAGAGAATGGCCAATTATCTGCAAAAATCTATGTATAATTTCTTGAAATAGTAGGAATAAGAAGTCTCCCCTTACTCAATAATACTATAGAATTTTTACATCCTGATAAGGGTCCTAAAGTTTTTTATCTGACAGAAACAGAGAGGATTTGTTAACTTATTTCTGTTGAGGACTGTATGGGAATACAAAGACAGCTAGCTAATCAAGTAGTTTGTGGACACTGAGGTTAAAAGGACACTCAATTAAAAGTTAAGTTTAACCACATGAGGAGCACTAGTCAGCCAGTGAAAACAGTTTTATAACGTCTTCTGTAGCTCTGGAGGGAGTTTTTCAGAATATGAAAAATATCCCTGGTGATATTATCAGGGTTGTCTCAGCTAGAGGTGGGGCAATTCATCGATGTAATCAACGTAATCGATTACAATGAGCTCTTTGTTAAGACTGTAGCAGAGAGCACCGTCCAGTTTACTTTTTGTCCCTACCCAAACATTATATATCAGGATTATCAACACGTGGAACGTGTGTCTGTGAGTAGTAGTCACTTAAACTTTCTGCGCTGCCGCTAATGATACGCATGCATCATCTGACGTTGTTATTTGGCCGTTAAATATTTTCTGTTTACTTCAATGGGCACACACGAGCAACAAAATGTCTTAAACTAATGTTCCAGGCTGTGTGAAGGTCTGTGATTTCGGTTACAGTTGTAAATCGTTTCAGTTATTTTCCTCGCACCACAAAGATGCAAAAATGCATTTGCCAGTAATTATCTTAACTGCATATTACTGCAGTGATGAAATATATCCATGTCATAACAATATTAAGTTTTCAGGCAAGTACTGGTGAATACTGATTCACCAGTTCAGTGAACGGACTGCTGTGATATACAGTAATTAAATTAATGTATGTGTTACACCAGTGCTTTTGAATTTGAGGTCCAATACTTTCTGATCAGGTATCTGACACATATTATCATCATCATTATTATCATTATTATTATTATTATTATTATTATTATTATTATTAATAATAATAATAATATCATAACACAATAGTGACATAGACATTAGACTAATCAAAAAATAATTGTTACATTAATTGATAAAAAATCATTAGGTGCAGTCTCAGTCTAGTCCCAGCCAGCACTTGTGAGTTAAAACATTGAACAGGAAGTCTAAATAATGAATTGGGGCTGATGGGGGTGGATGTTCTAATGAAAGGTCCTGTTGGATTACATTTTGGGAAATGTAAGACCCAGTCTTTCTGGAGTTTGATCCACACAAGGAATGGAAAGTCAGGATCACTTAACCTCTGCTTCTCTTATTTTGACCACTCTTTTTAAAATCTGTCACATGTGAGTGCCTCAGCTTTATGGAGGTACTGAAATCTGCTTCAAGAGTTGTGTCCCAATTCTATAACCCATACAAACTGTATACATTAATAATTATACACTAATCTTTTTTTTTGTACACTGTTTTAACAGTTAGCATAAAAGAAATACTTAAACATACTCACTTACATACTTCAGCATTTTATACTAAACTGTATAATATGTGTGCCACTGGATATCAGTCAAATTGCGACTTTAGGTTGCTACTTCCAATAACAGTTAACAGTCTTAACAATCTGAAATGCAGTTGTTATTTCATGTTTTCTAAGGTGTTCCTTACTGTAAGCAGCTCCTCCATTTTTTTTATGCGTTGTGGCAGAATGTGGTGCTGGGATTTTATGTAAAAACAAAACAAAACAAACAAACAAACAAAAATAAGACCCAGAGTGTTAACATGCACACTGAGTGTTTTAAGTATACTTATTGCGTCATTTCTCCAGTGTGAACCATGGATGCATTAGAAGAACTGCATACAGCATGGAGTAGCCCAGGAATGAGTGCTGAAACCCAGAAATGAGTTGGCATTTCAGCACTCCTGCTTCCCTCGTCTCAAAGTCAGTGGTGTTTTTTTAATGGTTTTTGGTTATATGCCTGAAATAAGATCTGTGGTTAGTACAAGCTGAAGAGACTTTCAGTTTTTGTTCTAGTTCAGTCAATCCCCCACTCGTGAACTTTGAAGCTTCTATGTGTCTTAAAAATGGCAGTTGCTAACAGGTGAAATGAGACCAAAGAATATCAACATGCTGAGCCGTGCCAACATGGCTTTACAGTCTTGTTATGGTGGTGATGTTAGGTTTTGTGACTGTATTGTAGTTTGTTTATTTACTTCAGGGGATTGCATTTAGGCTTCAATATTTATGAAAGTGATGATCGTCAGTGGAGATTATTTTGCTGAACAAAACTTGTTAGTATCATAAATGTGTGTTTGCCAGAGCTTATTTTCTGCAATACTCTAAAATCCAATGAAAAAATCTTATTGGCTTTTTGATGAGGGAACCAGGGTGATGCTAACTCCACATCGACCTACAGAAAAACGTCATCCCTGGAGAACTTTGTTGAACACGGGGCCCCATTCATTCCTATGAGAGTTGCTAAGTGCCGCATAAAGTCAAAAATGATTCAGCTAACGCATATGAAATTACCCCAATGATCAGTGCTAGTTCTGCACTGTGCGGCCCATAGAGCAGGCGCACTAGAGACTTACAGCAACTTTTATCGGACCAAATGGATCAAATCTTGATAATATAACAAACCATTTTGCAGGGGTATTGATGCTCAAATGAAATTATCCACTGATTTACAGAAGTCTTTTTTACAGTCCATGGGGAAAAAAAGTATTTTTGGGCCACAGGGAATCACATGACGGACCTTGTAAATTGCAGCACCACTGTTTGGCCTTTTAGGAAAATTAGTTTCAAAGCCTAGCCCACTTGCTGGGGGCTTGATGTGAACACACTGCATATGCGAATGCTGCTTAGAATTAGTGTGCTGTATAAATATGGGACCTACAGTATGTTGTATCTTATGACTGCAGTGCACTCCTGTCTGTCAGACTCTAACAGACAGGAGTGCACTACAGTATGTTGTATCTTATGACTGCAGTGCACTCCTGTCTGTTAGAGTCTGTTGGCCTCCTTTCATGAATTTCTCCTGGTATGACAGAAAGAAACTCTTTTCTTTTGATGGTGAAAAACTGACACCAAAGCTGACATTTACTGATGCATGAATTAGCCAAAAAGTATCTGCTGTAAAATGTGTGGATGTTACAGTTTACATTTTTTAGAAAGATGCACAAACACCAAGCAACAATTTAGGTCCATGAAGTATGTTCCCGGGCATGGTTTTTCCATTTTCCATTGGAAAATTATAATTGATTTAATGGTATGGTTTATGTTTGCATGTGTAGCAGCCTGTGAATTTGCTCTCCACAAGATTTCCTTAACACTGTCACTCCATTTGAATACATGATCCTGGCCACCATTATAGCAAACTGCATTGTGCTGGCCTTGGAGCAACACCTACCAGCCTTAGACAAAACACCAATGTCAGAGCGTTTGGTAAGTATCCATTGATCCACTTCCTTAGATGGGCTGAAAACCTTTCTGACAGACATACCACAGAGTTCATGATGATTTTAAGCCATCAGATGTTTCATCAGGACTGTGTCACTGCATTATAAAATTCTCTATACAGCTTTTCTGTCTTTACCCAGCTATTATCTAGTCCCAGTAAACATTATGGAGACAAATGAGCATGTCTTGACTCTTGTCAGGGAGCTGTGGCCCTGTGTTGGTATGGCTGCAACTACCAATTATTTTCATTATCAATTAATCTGACAATTATTTTTTTCTATTGATTAATTGTTTAATGGAAAACATAAAAACATAATGAAAACATCAGTTTACAAACTCTTACGCAGCTCCGACAGTATAATCCAAGTTCCATTTGTCCAGTCTTGTGCTCAGTACTTACTAAACACATGCACTCTTGCTAAAATGTTAGGATTTAAAACATGTCAGTACAAACAACCTGGGCTAGTCACACACTGATGAGTAGTGTGCCTGGCCCAGGCTCAAGGCATGCCACCATAGGCAGAAGTGTTTTATATTATAACATATTAGCAAAAATGCGTATGTCTGTAATGTACTGAGCATATGACTGGATTAAAGAGACTTTGATCATACTGCAGGAGCTGTGTGAGAGTTTGTTAAGTGATGTTTTGGTATAGTTTTGTTGTTGTTAAATGTGGACCCTGATTACTTCAATTCATGAAGAATGTTCACCTTTTATGGATTCTCTGTCCACCATGAAGGCATGAGAGAAAAACGTGTTGCATCAGATTCTGCTAAACTGATGAAATACGATCAAGGAAGGCTAGTTTTAGTAAGAAATCTTTGAGTTTTAACACTTATCTATGACATAACACTGCCAGAGATTTATAATAGTTGGAGGAAGGATTTTATTACTATGGACATTTAAGACAATGACAATAATTTCATCCTCCGTCTCAAGGACTGCAATGAAAGCAGTAGCATTATCCCATTCATGCCACAGGGTAACCAGGAATATATGCTTACCCGTACCTGATTGGCCAACAGAGTGCCTTACCAATAACTTTGCATTGTGTTGTGGCAAACGATTAGATTCAACTTTTTGCTGACGACATTTTTTTGTTTGTTTTCTTTTGCCTTAGCCCTCTCTGTTAGTATAGCCACAGCTGTGTTTTTATTGAAACACATGAGGAGGCTGCCTTTTTTTAACAGTGTTAATGTCGATCTGAACACACTCTAGAAATCCCTCATAATTTAACAAAAGAAGCCAAGAGTTAAATGCTGTCTTTACACAAGCAGCCTTGCAAGACATTTGTATAATACAGTCTAAAATTGGCAAAATGGTGATTTAAATCGGGGAGGATGTGATCAAAGAATCAGTCAGAGTAAAAAACATAGTAAACAATCTGACCAGATATTCAAAGCCAGCTTTCAGGTCTAAATCTTCAAATCTAGACTAATCAAGTAATTTCTAATTTTTGTGATGCAGTTATGCAGCATTGTCATCTGAAATGCTCCACAGACATTGGTTTAAAGAAGAACCAGAAATAATACACTAAGTGTCACATCAATAGAACAGCTTTTCCCCCCCAATTTAATGTATATGTAAACTGACCACTTTTGTGAAAGGGAAACATTGCCTATATTTAACCAGCTCTGTGTCATTGCGCTGTGGGCAGTGTGTACAGATGAACGGTGTTTGGCTTTGACCCATATTGTGAGCGCCCGCAACCCACTCATTTGCTGGTGAACTTCAATGATGTGGACTTTTGTCGGCAGATGAGTAGGAGCTTGTAGGAGCTTGAGATCGGACAAGTTGGCCGACACCATACCGCCTGCTGCTCCTTGAGCTCCTTGAGCCAGACCTCCAATCTGTTAAATAGTCGCTCTACAGCTTGCCATCCAGTGCTGAACTGAGTTTATATAACAGTTTTGTGGAGATATTATTTACCAAGTTGGATTATTTTGGACAAGATGTCAACAAGAGAAGAAAGATTGACAAGTGCTGACATCGCTCATACGTGGACAAAAGACAGACTGAGGACTGAGTTAGTAAAGGCTTCGGATCTGCTGAATGTCCTCCAAGACAGAGAAGAGGAATGTGTAGCAATGCTGAAGCAGGCCTTACTGGAGATGCAAGAGCTTAAAACGAGGCAAGATGCCTTTGGCAAAGAAGTTCAAGACCTCAAAGCTCAGAATGAAATTCTCAAGCAGCAACTTGCTGAAGTACGTGCAGAAAGTAAGAACATAAGGGGCACTAGTTTCCCGGCGTGGAGCAGGGTGGCGAACCCTGCACAGAGCTAGTTTCGAGCAGTGCAACCCAAGGCGCGCTCAGTTTGGTAGTTTGGCAGACCGAGGTGCGCTGAGATGGGTGTGGCGGCGCAGCAGGGGGAGGTGTCGACAGATCCAGCTTGGTACAGTGACAGTTTCGTGCCAAAAGGCTTCGCCGAAGGTGCGCTAAAAGCTTGCCAGCTGAAACCAAGTCTACTGTCAACACAAAAGGAGCACAGCAGGTGAAAGAAAAAGTTTGGATGACCGGCGAACAGTGCGCACAAATAACCAAAACCTCACAGGCAGGTTTCCAGAATATCAGGCACATTAATAATGCAATAAATACCCAAAAACCACTATTCAATGCAACTATCTGCAATCGACACATAAATATATCTCTACATCGACTGTCCCGTCACATCTGATGTCAGATCAAAGGGGATTGGCACCGTTTGGCACGCGTAATGGAAACCCAACGTGATTTGATTAACACAGCTGCAAAAATAAGTTCACATCCCTCTCAGCCAACCACAAACAGCCACAGCATCAGATAGGGAGTATATATTCAGCATCTGTCATCTTAGAAAAGTCAAAAGAAAAGAAACAGAGTGAGACTGTGAGAGAGAAAGAGAGAGTGCACGCGCGCACGAGAGAAATGCAACATTGATTTACAATTGTGGTGACCTCCTCCCAGGCTACCTTTGCATCATCAGCCCGTGGAGGTCTGCTCGCAGTTCCGTATATTCGGACACTGCGAGCTTGGACCTCCCGGACCAAAACATCAGTTTCCTCCTGGGAGAAGTTTGGCCATCTGACGCTGCTGCTCTCTTCTGCCATGGCGAATTGAGTAAACTCTCATTACGCTTTTGCGCAGCGCATTTAAGGGCGAGGAGAGGGGCTCATTTGATTGGTGTGATGTGTGTAAAACCCACTCCACGCCTTCTCTCCTCCCTCTTTCCAACTTGCGCAGGTAGGAGGGACGGAGGTGGAAAGAGGAGTAGCTGCGCCAGAGCGCACGGTGTGCCAAACTTGCAAAAACTAGAGCCCAAAGCCTCAAATGGCTACTGTGACTGAGCAATATGGCATGGTGAAGACAGCTGTAGCCCATCAGCAACGTGCACTTGAACATTTGGAAAGCAAAGATAGGGAGAGAAAACTCATCTTTACAGGAGTGGCAGAGAATAGAGGAGAGAAACACTGGGAAAAGGATGCAGCTGTTGTTGAAGACATATTGGTGGAGATTCAATGCCCTGGTGTGGTGCCAGCTAAAGTCATGAGGCTCGGGAAACCAAGGGATGAAAATTCACCACCTCGCCCACTGTTGGTGGTTACAAATACCATATCAGAGGCAAAGACTGTGTTGGAAAATGCCAGGAAACTGAAGAACTCAGCCAAGGATGGTCGCAGAAAAGTCTATATAAAGAAAGACCAACACCCTGCTCTTCGTAGGGAATGGAAGAGGCTGCATGACCATGCAAAATTTGAAAGGGCAGCTCCTGCAAATGTTCAGTGTACAATCAGAGTGGACTACAAAAGCATGCTGTAACAAAAGATGGTGAGGTGATTTGCAAATTTGTGTCACCTTTTCAGCTACCGGGTCAAAGCATGTAAGGTTTGGGTTTTGGAACGTCAGTGGGTTGAGGAATAAATTGGAAAGCATAAATGTGATGCAGTGGTTAAAAGATCATGACATGGTGGTGCTGTTGGAGATTAAAAAAGCTAGGTGGTGCAGATTCCTGGTTTCATACCTGTAGTAGCAAAAAATCAAAATAGCCAGAGAGGAGGTGTTGAGGCTCTGTTTAAGCAAAATATTTAAAATGACATCACTGTAATTAATACATCAGCTGAGGAGCAAATCTGGTTTCAACTGCAGAGTGTTCCAGGTATAAGGTTAGGTAAAGTATATATTCTACCATCTGATTCACCTTTTTTCTCTAATGTAAGCTTTGCAGAAATCCAGGCCAGAACTCAGGATAACACCATGGGTTATGTGGTGGTTGGTGATATGAACACTAGATGTGGAAACAAGGTGAATGAGCTGCTTGAAGGTAGAACTAACATGTACTACAAGCCTGCTGATGAAACTGTAAACACTAATGGGAAAAATATTAGTCAAATTTGTAAAGATAATAATTTATTGGTAATTTACATACAATGTCTAACTCCTTCCCTAGTTGTCTAACTTATTGCAAGAGATAAAAATGGCTTTCTGAAGTGGATTACTGCTTAATCAGTGCTACGTATATTAGTTGTGTTGAAAACTTTGAAGTGAACCAAAATTTGGACATGCCATCTGATCACGCACCTTTGTCTATAGAACTTGTGTGATAAATGCAAAGGTTCTGTAACAGCGTGCTCAGGACCTATGTGTGCATTCTGGTACGAGTTGTGCTAAAGTAAACCTGTGCAGGAAACAAATACCCCTCACAAAAATTAATGCAGACCAGTTTGCCCACAACATAAGTCTACTAGAAATCCCTGTCCTTAGCTTTGACCAGAATCTAGATGATATAAGATAAAATAAGATACACCTTTATTGATCCTATAATTGAGAAATTCCAGTGTTACAGCAGTCAAGAGGAAAGAGTCAGATTAAAGATTTCAAATTTAAACTTAAAAACTTAAATAACTAGGCATGCAAATAAGTACAAAAATGCAAGAGACGGCGATAAATAATAATAACAATAGTGAACAATAGATAGTTGAACCTCAGATTGAGGAGGAGCAATGTGGTT